ACCAGAGCAATTGGGGCAACACGAAGCGGTGAGCCATGAGAAGGAGGGGCTGCAATGGCGCAATTCCCCCGTTTCGGAGCTATCCACACCTTTTTTCTTTCTTTTTTCTTCTTTGCGCCCGCTCTGGAGCCGTGACCGGACTGGCGGTAAAGAATCTCGGTCACAGACACAAACTGAAACTCCGTCTGTCACTGTCATGCTGTCACGTAATCAGTAATGGAGTTCAGATAGCAGCGGTCAGACACTTGTGCCGTGCCCAGACAAAAGAGCACATATGTATTGCTTTGGCCATTCGGCTTCATGTGAATTAAGATGAATATCTAGACAACACTAAATACATGCTACTACAGGGTGATGACAGGGTCCGCGTCAGCCTTTCAATAGTAACAGCAAGCCTTGAAAATAGAACAGAGGGGGCCGGGTCGCCAAATCGGGAAACCTCCATACATATCAGTAGACGGATGGATAGCTTCAAATCCTGCTGCATGACAGTATGTACGGAGTCTTCTGGAGCCTCTCTCTCCATCACCCAGGAGACAAACCGAACCAATCCACACGGCCCCAACAAGAATAACAGTCCTTAGCAACAGCGCTACTAGCCGCGACATGCGAAACTCACTATCCAGTTCACGCAGATGGATGATCCCTGTCAGCCGCGTTACTCCTCGCGTGGCGGTCAGGGATCATCCCGTCGGAACGTAAGACAAGGCTGCGTCTAGGCTACTGCTGGGGTCCTTTACTTACTCTACTGGCGAGAATCTTGGTGACATTTCTCCTGCCTACAAAGAAAAGTACCAACTTAGCGGACCCATATTTGATGATGTTGTAGTCTCCTGCACGGCGCCAATCGTACTATCTACCACGCCATCCATCCTTGGCTTCCCGTCCATGCGTCCTTTTGCTATAATCGATCAACATTAGTGAGGCGAAATAATCCAGAAGAGTCAGTCGCATTTGGCATGTGGCTTGCGACCGAGTCAGACATCCCAAAGGGCTAGAACCTCAGCTATCGGTGCGCCTCATTCAGCCACATATCAACTTTGTTTTTCTTATCCCTTTCAAATTATACTTTTTGACCTTTTTGCATGGCGTCGTTATGGACCTGTCTAGGTTCATGGTATGTGTCTATCATAATTTCAGTATGATATAAGGGGTGGTTGGTGAATAAACCATCGTCCGTGCTATTCGAAATTAACTTTGGGTCATCCATTATATCCGTCTCTAACCTTGCCATGTATCTACTGTAGATGGGTTATTTTCCAATCGACCCAGCCAAGCAAACAAAACAGGCAACCTGCCTAACCCGGTCGGATTTTAAATTCTATTTTCTACTGGCATTTCTTCAGCAATCTGCCACAAACCCTTGGCGCGATATTGACATGACAGCTGAAACATACCAGTCGGTATTCGTATATCTCTCTTGGCACAAGATGTTCATCCAAGTATACTTGGATGGAAGTTAACTACGCTAGGATCTATACAGGCAGTACCCCGATAATAGCCGAAACCAACGCACGGCAGTTGGACGATCAACCTACCTGCCTAGCTCCAGACTTCTATCCTATCTATCAGGTTATCAACAACCACACAGTACTCAGACAAATACGAGCAACGCCTCCATCATTTCCATATTAGCTGATTCGCCACTTAATCTATTCAGCCTAAATCAGCAGGCTTGTGCTCAGTCCGCTTCCATTTCTTTTTGATCCATCTCCATCCGTTCTACTGCAGAATAGGTAGCAGCTACTAACGAGCTACGGAGTATAGTTAGTTAGTGAGTTAATATGGATCTATCTAACCGTAGCTAGTACGTAAAGTCTGCAAAGCACCTACCCTCCTACCTAATAGAGTGACCTGCAGACTAGTGGAGCGATAGCTATCTTTAATATAGGTTGTAGTTAGATACTCCATAGCAGCAGAGCAGCTATCACTACTATATACAGTATGTTAATAGACAAATAACTTGCTACTTTATCATGCCCCATCACTAAGCTACTTAACTACATACTACTGAAGTACTCCGATTGTTTAGTTGACCGGAGAACCAGATATCCGGTCTACTACTATCCTACCCGGTCTATGGATCTACAATTACATAACAAACAAGTTCTCTCTTTCTCTTCTCACTCTCTATCACTCAATATAACGAAACATAACACAAGTAAAAAAACACATACCCTCAAAACCAAATCCATACACCTATCAGCCACCGAACAAACCCCCCATCTACACGAACGAGGAAAAAGTTCCAGAATGTGACTCATACGTCATTCCCGAACATTCATACCCATACCTCGGCTGAAACCTCTACAACATTACCTAGTTCTCCATCCTGAAATCACCCGAACCAAGGTACGACCTCTCCCTCAACCCTGATCCATACATAGAAAATTCCCAATACCGAAACAACCCGGAAACACAAAAAACAGAGAAAAAGAGAAAAGCGGTCAGAGAGTTCACGCGGTTCCAGCGCAGTGGAGTAAGTAAAGTCTTGGCAGCGGGTTGAGGACAGAGGAAAAAAAAAAAGGTGGGGGTTATATTACAGTGTAATTAATTCGCTGATTCAGTTGATCTGTTTGTATTTTTGTATGTTTCGGATTTCAAGGATGTGGAATCAATGGAACCAACGGGAGAATGAGCTCTGCTCTTTTTCCCTTTCTTTTTTTCCCACTTGCTGGTGGATAGGTAGGAGGTATCCATCCCACATGGAAGAAAAGAGTAAATGGTAGGCACTCCGTACACGGTTTTATTATGGAGTATTCTCGGGCGCGGGTGTGTACGCCACGTGGGTTCTTTTGTGGTGATACACATCCATAATTTTACATACTTCCAGAATTATTATTTTATTTTTTCTTTTTTCTTTTTGTTTTCTCTTTTGGTTTCCACTCTTACGAGACGAGCGGAGAGGTCATATGACGAAGATTTAGTTACAGTAGGTAGGTAACTAAGTATGGAAGGGCGCAAGTGTCGTCATTATGGGGCATGGAAAAATTTTCCCTCATATGCGGTTTTACTATTCTTCTGTTGGTGGGTTTTCGGGTTTGGAGGTTAGGGTTGGACTCTGGTCTGTCTGTCTAGTGTCTACACAATCTATCTAATATCTATCTGCCTATTAGTTCGTTGGTAGTAGTACTATCTAGTCTTGTGTTTGTGCGCCGCTTAGGAGACAGCGTTAACTTCCTTTAGTGTAAGTTCAAGATAGTGTCTGGGCAATATGTAGGGGGCGGGATATTCCGCTGCCGGGGGGTTTAAAGTTCGCACTTAGAGTTCGCTTGATATGAGCATGTCTTAATTCTACGGAGTATCTAGTACAGTGATAGTCTAGCCTGGACACCTTGATGAACTGTATCTTGATGGCTGGAAGCCCCTGGAATCTCTCGACCTTGGTTTGTGGCTGAAGTTTGAAAATAGTAGCAATTGGCGACGGACCCCTGAACCAACATCAGGGTACTTCGTAAGTTTGATGTTTTATTGGATTACGGGAGTGTTGGCTGAGAAAGACCTGTTTGTTTCAGCTGCTAGAGCTGAAAGTAATGGTTGGGAAGGCATCTTTTCGGCTTCCGGCATTTTGTGATCCTTCTAGAATCATTTCTCCAGGGGAAGGGGGGGTGGTTGGGATGAACTATTTTAGGAGAATAGTTTATCTGGTGCAATGGAATGGGATGGGATGTGAATCCTGTCGGGCACAGGGAGACACGCTACATTGTACTACTGTGCTGTTAGTATCGGCTGCGCCCAGATATCTGGAACGATAGTAAGCGCTTGGGAGGGTTTCTAGAAGGAAGTTGTTGGAAGGGCTAAAATCCAGCAGGATTGCATGTCTAATCCAACTTACCATCACGGCGGGAAATGATATGAACTTACGTAGCAAGTACGCGCTGTTCCTGCATCGTGCAGTAGTTCGGTGGCGAAAGAAGCCCAGCTGAAGCTTCTAGAGCGGTCACTAGTCTTGTAAACTACTACAGTTTACCAGGATCGGATGACGCCGATGTCCATTCAATTCACCAAGCTTTTTTTTCGAATTTATTTTACTTGATTTTCGACGATTTTCCCCTTTATTTCCAATCGCACCATATTACCTACCTGAGTAATTGAGATGCTTTCGCCCCTACGTCGCAATTTTTGATCGGCTGGGGATCTACAAGTCCGCAAAAACTCAAAGACCCATCCGTCAACAACGTGTTCCTTCCCAAGCAAGTATATCCTCCATCCAGGACGGGAAGCGTATGTGGTTCGCAGGCAGTCCAATTTTTCCGACTGTTGGTCCTCCGATCTGCCGATCAATGGAAACCGTAGAAGGAATATGAGATCACAAAAAAATCATACGGTGTTCCCCGTTGGAGAAAGAGAAACTAGTGAGGCTGCATCCACGGTTGAGTTAATTGAGTTAATCTACTCCTGGGGCGCTATTGCTTGGTGGTTCTTTGTTTCGGGGCTGGTGGGACGCCGATGGATGCGCTAGAAGGATTCTGGAAGACTTCTGGAAAACGCTAGAAGGAGTCGGTCGGTTGGGGGTTGCTGGTCACCCCCACTCTCTACCATGTGTAAGACTTTTTCCTGTTTTCCTTTTTTTCTTTTTCTCTTGTGTAAGTTGTTGGGTGAGGCTAGGGATTCGTACCTATCTGAGGTAAGTTAGCGACGGATCACACGGTGTACATCGGGCTTTCCGGCGTTTGTCTTGGGGGGGCGTGGTTGATTCACCGTATTTGTATGATGAATCCACAGGCCCCGAGAGATGATGGGGGTGACGGGCTAAGGATTTACGGGAATACGGATTGGGTAAGCTGGGCGCTGGGGGCGGCCGGGCTCAAGGTTTACCGCTTAAGTGAGGATGGGGACGGAGATAAGTTAAACCGCATACATGTCACTTTTGTCTAGTTTTGTCTTGTCTTGGAACTTTGCTAGATTGTCTTCAGGCTATTCTATTCTTTTCCAAGCAGGGTCCCGGGGAAATTGTCCGACTCCGGCGTCCAGCTACTAGGAGGGCGTGAATTGGGGCTATGGCGGCCGATATCGTCGCGCGAAAATCGCTTAGTCAGAAGCAAAACTCTCCGAGGGTCAACAGGCTTCTCTGCCTGAGTCGGTCAGTTCCAGGAGACGAGACGCACGTGGAGGATCTTCCGGGAGGCGGCCAATCGAACCTTGAGCGTTACATTGCGTATGGGAGGGAAACGGTATGGACTAGTCTCGTACAGACAATTACTTACCGCCTAAAGCGGCCAAGCCACTTACCGAAAACTGAAAATAAGGCGAGAAAAAGGCCCCAAAAGGATGTCGGAGTCGGAGGCGGAAAGAGCCGGAGTCGGAGCCGGAGCGGGGGGCCCTGCTTCAGGCCAACTTCAGGCCATATTCCTTCGGACCAACCTAATGCGCTGCTACTGCTGTCAGCCTGCGCGGCGATTGGCTGGCTCGTTGTTCTATCTCGTCCTGCTGCTGCTCCTCATCACCATGGCCATCATCATCGTCGCTCATGCTGTCTCCATTCCCGTGCAGGACTACTTCCAGTGCTTCTTCTGCTGAAGAATTGGGATACGCCCGATATGAATAGGCACACTATACATACCCCTGCCTGTCCTGCCTCAAAACGCAGTTTGGCCCACCATCGGCACAAGTATGTACTATGTCTTCTGCCTCGGCCTCAACCACGCCTTCCTTTCTGCCGCTGCAGAAGCAAGGGGTTGCCAGCATGCATGATAACTACACTGGTTCCTATTTGATGCTTTTCTGTGGCAGACGCTGATCCTTGCTCTCCACGCGAAAACTAAACCCAAGGCTTTTTTCCTTGTCGTGGCCCCACCTGACCAGCTTCCAGGGGGGTGTCCCTTCAGCTGTTTCCATGGGCAAATCGTGAATTATGATGCTGATTGCTGACTGGGTGATATGGGGAAGGATAGCCTGTTGTTCCCTTTTCCCACCATCCCGCAATCGGGTCTTCTATGCTGTGCGACCTGATCGAAAATGGCTCGGATCACCGTCCATCTGCTCACGCTGCCATGCGAAGGGCCAGCCGGTTTGATTTCCCACGCGCACACACGCGAGAGACGGACCCGGTCTGCCCCGGATGCTGACTGGGTGCGGCGCGATGATGGAACCGGCGCGACAGGGATCTGTTCGGTTGATTGCATCGTCGGTGCATGGGCCAATGATGCCCATCCCCGACTATTGGGCAAGCTCCAGCCGACGAAGTACGAGGCTGGCCGTTAGGTCAACTCTGAACAGTGTGTTACTCCTGTCTACGGAGCTTACGAAATAGCCTGCTAGGATGTCTACATGTGTATGTGGTTAGCGACTGGAGGTCGCTATTCGGTCCCCTTAGTGTCCGGTTAGCCCAAGCGTGGCTTGGCTTGGACCGGATCATCATCAGCAGCATCAGCAACATACTTTGGGGCGCGGAATATCCCGTCCAGATTACGGAAGCCCATCAATGACATCTTTCTCCGGGGCGCATTACATTAATCTATCTTCTGCCCAAGACATTCAATAATCCCCAGACGAACACCTTACGACCGGCAAAACAGGCAGCCTCTCTTCCCGGCTAACCCCGCCGCCGATTCCACTTTGGTCCTGCGCCAGCTCAAGACGGTCATTTCATGCATTAGTGTGCAAGAGACGTGGCCCCGATTCGTCTTAGTTCCCCAGTCGACAGGCGATGGAGATGAGCCAGGATCGCACCAGGATTCGGTTCAGAGCTACGCAGTTGCATCGCCCATACGTACATAATCAATAACGGTGCATTTCGCCCCCATTATTAAGTCTATAGCGTGGTTATATCACAGTCATTTATGCGTGGGCATATACCAGCTATGTGATATGAACGGGGTGCAAGTGCGGAGTATCGGTCCAGTCCTCCCTCCATAAGACTTACTGTGTCCAATATCACCACTCATACCCAGGGTGACCAAAGGAACCTAATCTCAACCGAAAATTGCCTCTGTCACGCTGATCGACCAAACTACCGCCCATTATTGGCCGGACTTCCGTTCGAACTAGTCCGGCAGCCTCCCTTGCTCACGGCCTGGCGTGGCTAGGGTTGCACAAGGCTGGTCGAGACCACTGGGGAGGGATGATGGCTCATTTCAGCCCAGGCTGCTGGCCAATCTTTGGTCATCCGCGGAGCACTGCATGGGCAATGGTGCGTGAATCCCTCCCCTCGGCGTGTCCATGTACCTTGCCTGCCATGAGGAGACGGTGCAGCAGCAGCAGCAGCATTCCGGACGCGGGCTGGTTACCCTGCTTTGCCATGAGGTGGTACGTACTAGGCAGTTTGAGCTAAGGCAGCTCTGCCGATTCCCCTCTTTTTCTGCCACGCAGCCTTAGCCCCGTCTGACACCATCGCGACAATCAACATAACCGTCCGTCACCGCGATCTCACCTACACAGACCACCACAACCCACATACACATCATCTCCATCCCGTCCAACTACCTTTCCCTCCCCCACAGTTGACCCTAGCAGTAGGTACATACCTAGACAGCGACTAGATATGCAGCAGCAGGTCCAGAGCATACTCAGCCCCATCTCATATGAGTATCCTTGGCTACCTCACCACTAAAGTTGGTCAAACTAAGTATGACCCCTGTAGACCATCTATCACATCGCAACCCCTCCCAACGGTATCACCCAACCCACCGCACCATTTAGTAGTTACCCCATTAGCACGAATCACATCTCCCATCACCGTTTAGACTGCAGAGTCTACACTAGTCACTACGCATCTTAGCAAAGTCAAGAATGTCAGGCACATCCACCCATCCACACAGCACATCCAGTCATCGAGTCATTCATTTACTGTACAAGGTCGATCACTTTTATTACTTATCCATCCACGCGACCGATCATTCTGCGAATTACAAACGTATCTCGTACAGCCAACCTACTGTATTAATCGACGATCTTATTGTTTACTAGCTATCGACTACTTGCCTAAATAGTACCTATTTTCCATTGCATAACCATATGCACATAATCGAACCATTGATGTGGTTTTATGATAGTGGATTTACTGACTTTACAATGGTCATTACACTGTATAATATGCAGATAATGAGGCTGCTAGCGACTTGACATAGCACTCGCAATACCGGAGTAGTGTGTGAAATAAATATCTCAACTATACTTTATGCTATCACTACACGTAGATTATTCCTATCTTCTATGTAAAACCTACGCTACGATACAACACTACGATGATCATTCATTCAGTTCATAGTACTAACCACAATTGAATGCGCAATAACCCTCATACATATATACACAAATACTAATACCCCTCAAAGAACAGAAGAAAGAGGACCTTCGAACTCGAACTAAGTACTGACTTCTGTCAATTCGGTCATATCCGACCAGCTCAACCACATGTCGTCAATCATTCTACAGTACTATGTATGGATGTTCTGTCAATTCCCTCGGCCAATTCATCGTACCATATAGCATAATAACCATACGCAGTCATACTTAATCTTGACTTCGTTCGATACTATTTCGAATATGTATAGATCTCCGTACCTGTTAATGATATAATTTATATATATATATATATATATTCCATACTACCATCCACATTGTACCACTCATCCCACAACAAAAGACACAAACAATTCTAGCTTCACCTTACGTTAATACTTAGTACTACTAACTACTAGTAGTTAACACCAAACCCAGCGAGGAAATTTATCCCACTCGCAACATCTGATACTAACTAATAAGTAATGAGGGGTAAAAATTCTCAAACCCACTGATTATCATCACTACTGCAACTACTTACCCACCTAGTTAGTAACAACAACAAATCACACAGTAATGAATTAATATGTTAGTACTTAAGTTAATAAGTAATATTATATACCAACCACCTACCTACCTTCCTACTACTCAAACAAGTTAACACAGCCGCTTAATACCTTACTTACTGCCTCATGCATATTACCCAGATACTACTACATAATCTGATTATTTCTATTGTGGGGAAAACATTATTTTACATACTAGACTAGACTACACTAGACTATGTCTGTCTAGGTATTCGCTAGGCTAGGCTTTCTGCAAGGTAGATTTTCCCCCTCCTCCATCTTGTTCTTTTCTTGTTTCGGTTGTTGGTTGTTGGTTCTCTCTGCGCGCGCGCGCCTAGGCAGACGTCTATGTAAATGCTGTCTAGGCAGCTATCTTCTGTCTAGAGATAGGCGGTATGGATAGGTAGCTACTGCTGCTGCTGCTGCTGCTGCTGCTGCTGCTGCTGCCTAGTATAAGGAATAGGCAGATAAAATATTTGTTACCAACGATGAGAAAAGTAAGTAAGTACCTTCGACCCGTCCGTCCCACCCCCTCAAACCTTTATGTGGAGTAACGGAATGTGCAACATGCAACGTGTGTGTGTGTAAGATTCCTCTTCATGCAATGCAACATAGTACCAAGTAAGTTTAGTCTAGACACCCACATATTCCCGTTGTTGAACACAAGCAAGGCTGAGTTCCCCCCTCACCTCACACGGGCAATTCCCTGCACCGTGCAGGCAACATTCCCTATTCCTGCTCAGCCATCCCGCCACCACCGTCCTAATGATCCTCCCGTACCGGCCATCTCGACTACTTCGTCGAAGCTGATTTCCACCCGGAACATCCGTCCGTCTGCTGTGCCACTGCCCCCGCCGACGGGGCTGATCAGCCCCCAGCTGACGAGCTTCTCCCATGCCTCGCGCGCCACGTCCCGACCCCAGACCCGTCCCGGAGTGACCGCGGCTCCGGACACTGAGGCTGATGTCTTGGCTGTCGTCAGCAGTCGCACGTACTCTGCGTACGCTGCGGGGAAGGAGAGTGCCAGTGGCGCAGCGCTCTGGAGCTGCGTTGTCTCGACGCCGGGTTCGTATAGAGCTGCTAGGCGGGTCGCTGCGAGGAGGAGCGAGAGCGGGAGGGATGAGGGACTTGCGGAGGCGGTGGACGACGCGGAGAATGGGAGAGGGGCAGGGTCCGGGCAGGATAGAAGGTGACTGGTGAAGGTGGTAGCGGTGGGGATCTCCAGGGAAGATGTTCCTTCAGGAGTAGTAGTGAGAGAGTGGATGCTGTGGTAGAGGTCGCTCAGTCCAATCAAAGCGCTCGTGAAGAATTCCTTCACGGATTTAGTTTGATGGTATATCCTTCTTAGGTGAGATGCGAACGCTTCGTCGATCCATAGGCCCTGGAATTGCCCACTAGGGTCAGCAAAACGTGGTCTGTGTGGTTGTTTGTCGCGCAATGAGGCGCACTTACCTGCAGATAAGCTCTCCATCCTTCCAGTAAGCGTCTCCAGCTGCCAGATTGGAGGATGGCTTGCTCTTCGCCATCAGCCAATTCAAGCAGTTCCGAGACTTCCTCGTCTTCCAGGTTGAGTCCAACGAAGCAGATGTCAGAAAAGGTTTCTAGGGATCGTGGCAGTGGAACGTAGACATAGCGGTGACTGAAGCGACTTTTGACTCGCTTCTCCAACATTTCCGTCACATCCACCTTGGTGGTGAGTCCAATCACTGCAATTGGGGCCTTGCGCGCCTGCGCGATATCAAACAAGTTGTACAGCAGTGTTTGGCGAGGGTGTGTGACGAACAAATCAAACTCGTCCAGGACAATGACGATGGACTTTGCTGCGGTCGCAGTACCTGATTCAATGGACGGACCGTAGAGATCCTCTGGGTGCGACAGAAGAGCAAGGAGTGTAGCCATGGTATCAGCGTAGCTGCTAACCTTGCCAGCTTCATCTTCAGTGTTTGTCTCACGGCCAAGCTGACGCCACATTTCGCGGAGCGCCAATCGGTCGTCCGTATGCAGGAAGCCATTAAGACGGACAACGTGGAAGTCATTCTTGTACGACTTTCCCAACTTCGAGATGATCGTCTCAACGATCGCGGTTTTTCCGCTTCCACGAGATCCCAGAAGTAGCATCGAGTTACCTTCACCGACAGCAACAGTTTGTTCAATCAAATGGTTGACCTTGTGATACTCAGTCTCGAGCCCTTTCAGTGGCACCCGTCGTTTGCCGTTCAGCTTTTGCGTAACATATCCTGTCAGTAACCGCAGCTCCTCTGTCAGACCTTCTTGCACAAGGGCTTGGAGCTTCGCAGCATATTCTGGAAGCGGCTCCCCGTTGGCGGCAACGGTCTGCTCGGTGCTGGTCAAGTCATTGTTGACAAGATCCTGCTGTAACTGCATGGACACGAGGTCCTCCAACCCATCCTGATATTCATCCGGTGTAGGAGACATCTGCGATTCGTCTCGTTTCTTAGACGCATCATCTTTATCCGTCTCGAACCGAACTGTAGCTTTCTTCGAGCGCGTCCGTGTCGGCCGTCTTTTCGGTTGCGGAGACGGTTCGTCCTCGTCGTCATCATCATCGTCGACGACCTCTGCTTCGTCCTCTTCCTCATCGCCCTCGGTTTCCGAAACATATTTGGCCCTGCGAGCGCTCCTCGTCGTTGACCCATTCGCGCCTGGGGTAGAAGCATTTCTCCTGCGCGATGGCGTATTCACGACCTCGTCTCCGTACCTCTGCGGCGCTTTTCGCTGGCGTCCACTTGACCGTACTCCACCCCTCGTAGGTGTATCTGTAGTTTGTACTTCATCCTCCTTTCCAGTTACAGCGGCGCCCTGCGAAGATCGCCGCCGCTTTGACCTCGATGTAGCTGGCGTTTCTGGCTCTTCGGCTGCGGGAGACGCAGCTTTCGTCTGTTCAATTGCTGGCGAGATGGGTGCATCTTGAGCGCCCTCGCCCATGGTGGTATCTCCATCTTCGTCAACCACTTGTGCGTCCGACACCCTTCTCCTCTTGCTGGCGCGCGGGTCCTTCATTGTGTTGAAATGGGTATTGCGTCGTCGGGGGAGGTCTAGCTGCACCACTCGCAGGTGCAGCTTTGTAATAGTCGTCTTTTATATCCGGGTATATAATGAAGATAGGTCAATGGCGCGCATAGAAAACATCAGAGGGTGCGGCACTGGAGCGGAGGGATAGATGCGGAGAAGGAAATATTTCTGGACTGCGACCGGGAGTTTCGATGAGATTGGTGGTCGGGATGAGGGGACAGAAAGTTATGATATTAATTAGACAAAATCATATAGCTTATATAGATCTGATTATGGCCACTGCCAGCTATTCTCATAGACAGGGGTTGGCTCAATGGAAGGATTGTCTTGATTGTTGACGGAGAGTCTGGATGGAGTCGGGCCAGGCACGGGTGCCTTTCATGCCTGAGGCAGAAGACATGACGCCAGGTCAGGTGCATGTTCTTGAGAGACAAGTTGGAAAGAACATGATGACAATACATACTAGCAACATCTTTTCAGACTCACCACAAGACTGTATAGGCTGTCATCTTTACCATCTCCCAGGATATCCTATCCTTGTGAAAGTGGCTAAGAATAGGTCCATGACGAACGGAGCCCACTGGCTAGAATCACAAGCATCATGGCATAACTTGTATGTATATCACGGCCCGAATGCCGGGACAAATAACCACGCCTGAATGTCCCACATAAACTATACAATGAAGTTAAAAAGGCAAGAAAGTGTTACCAAGAAGGGAACTGACAAGTCATGGACCTGAGCAGCTATCGTATACTTCCAGGGCAAGTAAGAGGTCCGTACGGACAAGCAGGTTTACGATGTGCCGGCAACCTCGGTTGTTTGGACCCTTATCCAAGGACATCGGACTATGAAGAGATCACCCATGCAACAGAGTAATTAGTATCCTCTTTTCTCGCTCAATGAGCTATAAAAGTAGATTTCCCCTAGCCCCTTTACATAATTCTCAATAATAACAACCTGACCAAAAAGAAAACCACGTGCTCATCATATTAGTCACATACATTCATCCATCACCCAGACATCCGCGGCCATGGCTCCGACAACTCCCCTCCGAACATCCAAGATGCCAGCACCGAGCGTTCGTCCGCTATCCCAACTGACCCCGTTTGAGCAGACTGTGCACAGCTACTCTACGGGGCCTCCTACATTGGATAAGAACGACGAGGCACGTGCTATATATTTGTTGTCCCATCCGCAAACAGCATCCTAACGATCCGCGCAGGCCTGGGACTTCTTCCCGCACGAATGCAACCTTCGGTTCGAGTCCGCCACGGAGGGTCCCCCGGCTCGCGTCTCGTATCTCCTGAAAGTTATCCCAAAGCAATGCAATTACCTCCAGAACCTGCATGGCGGCTGTGCGGCCACCATGGTTGATGTCCTTTCTTCGACGTTACTCATGGCACTCTCCAAACCGGGCTTGTACTCTTATGGTGGTGTGAGTCGGAACTTGAAGACTACGTATATCCGGCCAGTGCCGGTGGGGATGGAGATCCGGCTGGTGTGTGAACTGGTGCATATGGGGAAGCGGATGGCGCTGCTACGGGCCGAGATTCAGAAGTTGGATGGGAGTGTTTGTGTCGTGGCTGAACATGATAAGGCGAATACGGATCCTGCGGACACCAAGATCTGAATTGGCCTTGGCGCATAATGATAGAAAGCAAGTTCTACACTGCAGATATTTGTTAAGATAGAATTATTCACACGTCAGGTGCACCAGACACCAACTTATCAGGTCAACTGATGTATATGCAGGCCCGACTACTACTTCAAGACGCAAAACCCAAATGAGTGTGCGAGTCCAATAGTGGTATGATTCATGAGCGTAGAGAAAGTCCAAAAGAAATTAGGATGACTCGATTCAAAAGCGCCCGTAGCGTCAAGATATTACCTTACCCCAATATGCATTCCACGGAGATTTCCTTACTCCTCCGCAAGCTTCTGGCCCTCCCGGAGACCCTCAACAACCAACTCCTCGCCCGTCGCGCGACGGTAGATGTCCCGCACATCGTCTTCAGAACGTCAGCTATCATCCTGCAGCAAGGCTACGCGCTGGGGGCTTACCGGTTGTGGTCTCAAAGTGGGACGAAGGGTCGTAGCTCTTGGAGATGAAGATGTTGTCCTTCTCACCGCTCTCGATAGGCTCATACAGAGGAATAGGAGCACCCATGAACTTCTCCTCAATCTTACCCAGGCGCTCGAACCCAGGCTCCAGCTCCAGGTGGTGGTTGGCATCCGTCTCGGCAATGGTGGAGACGATGGCAATGTAGTAGCCCTTGGGGCAGACGTTGTGGGCCGACGACACCATGGCGATGTAGATATCTGGCGAGAGTCAGCGCAAATTCAGTTTCGAGGCACCTCATTCAAAAGCTTACCGTGCTTTCTGCCGACCTGCGACTGGGGGATGATCAGCTGCAGCGAGTCGCTGCTGTCGGTCTTGTCGATGGGGTGGTTCAGGATGCAAATGGCCTTCAGCAGGTAGCCGGTGACTCTGGCCTTTCCGGGGAAGTATGAGGGGTCTGCGAGAATCTTCTTGGTCTTGGTGGAGAAAGTCATGGACTCGGCCTCGTTGTCACGGTCCTTCATGGTAGCCTTGATGCCGGAAACCTTGCCGCTCTCGTCGTAGAGAACGTCGTCAACAGAGGTGTTGAGCATGTAGGTACCTCCGTAGATAGCGGACAGACGAGCGAAACCCTGGGGAAGCTCGCCCAGACCGTAGAGAGGGTAGATGTAGGGGGACTTTCCGTAGCGTGCCATCGAGTTCACGTACAGACGGATGCGGTTGATGGTCTCGACAGCCATACCCGGCTTGTGGATGTACTCATCGGATGAGTACAGGGCCATGGAGTGACCAACAAAGTCACAGGTGTTGGCCTCCAGTCCGAACTTGTCGTACACTTCCTTCATTGTGCAGTTGTGGATGTTCAGACCTATATTGCATTAGCGCCGGCGCTACAACGATCAAGCGTCCTTGGACCAACCCTGGTGGGTGGAGGGGTCATCCTCCTTGAATTCACCAACCCATTCCAGGAACTTCTTAGCTCTCCGCTTCTCAAACATGCCCATGAGAGATGAGCGCAGAGCTTCACCAGCATCAGAGGGCACCTTGGCAACGGTGGCCTTGGGACCCTTGCCTTGCTGGACGTAGCTGCCAGCAATCTGCTTGAACTCGAGGTATCTCGTAACATCGGTGGAAACCAGAATGTTGGTCAACTCTCCGTTGGCCATGAGCAACTTGGGGACCAAGTCGATGTTCCAGTCGTTGACGCGACCATACTTCTTCCAGGGCTCGTCGCCGGGCTGGACGTTGCCGTACTTCTTGAACAGCTAGAGTGTGGAGAATGGGTTAGCAAGCCATATTCCGAGAGAGTAAGCTATTTTCAAGCTAGATCCAGCTTGTGAGAGTTATTTATGAGCACTTACAGTTTCAATGTTCACCGAGGCAGCCTCACTGGAGTCACGGTTAGTGGCGGGTGGGATGACGGATAGCTACCAAGAAGCTGCCCAACTCACCCTCCATAGTGATCATTGCGATCGATGTGAAGCACCTTGTTTCCCTTGACACTGAGAACACTGTAGAACGAACTGTCAGTAAAACTGCCGCAGTTAGAAATGCAAGCAGCAAGGGGTCCCTACCCCGAGAGGACACACTCGGTCAACCCTGTAGGAGGGGCGTCAGTACAGCTGTCGTCGAGCGGCGGCGGGGTAGCACATACCAGTGCCGAGCACCACAACATCATACTCGGGGGCAATCTCCTCCATGGTGTGTAAAGTTTTCAGGTGGGAGACTTATGAAGAAAGAATATACAGAAAAGAAATCTTAGAATGGGTCAAAGAGGCACGCGGATGAGTAGTAGAGAAGATGTGCAGGAAAGAGGAAGAGAAGGGGAAGAGAGAAGATGCGGAGGCGGCAGCGGTGAAGTTGAAGGGGAGGAGGGCGAAACTGAAAGGAGGTCGCCAGGGTAGATTTGGCACCCCCCGCGGATCATCGATCAGGAAATATTGATTCGTTATTTGTCTTAACGCCCGCCAGCCTGGCTCCACCAGTCCAAATAACGTTGTCATTTCAGGGTGATTTGCTCCTTACGACCAGGCAATCTATTTGATGGAGCAATCCCATCTTCAGTTTCGCCTCCTGAGTGCTCCTCCTGCCCCTTTTTTCCCATCGGTCGTGCCGCAGTGGATCGATCATGTCTTCCGCTTTCGACGTAACGATTAGCTGGTCAGCTCTCTGACTATTGGACACACTATCTGCTCTCATCTCCCTTATGGCTCTATAATGCACTAGTTATGAGAATTGACAGTCTAGATCTGGCATCCTTTCCGCCACCACCAGGTACAGTAGGTAGGGTTCTCAACGGAACTACAGAACACCGGTTCTCGATAATCAGGTCGCCAAAATCAAAACTAGCTGAGATCTCGACATGGAGAAACAAAGAAAATAATGGAAAAAAGAAACCAAAAAATAAAAACGTTGCCAATAATAAGAGAACATATACTACATACTACTACATACAAAAGTACAGACCAATAGTTTCTATCGGAGCTCCCAGATTCAAACCCCGGTTCCTTTTGTGATGTCTTTCGTGGAGCTAATACCCTTACTCCTGGCTATCCTCCTGGGGCCGGTAGCCCTTTCTGTAGAGACGCTGGGCCTCCTCCCAGGCGTACCATCTTTCCCGAAGAACGTGCTTGATGCCGTTTTGCGTGACGCGGATCTAGGACAGCCATTCGTTAGCACATTGAGCATCAAAGTGAGCAGCAGCCAATTGCATATCATCGACTAATTGCGATGGTGAAAGATTTATAGCTTTCGTAATTCTGAAACAGGACCAGCAACAGAACTGGACTTACCACACGATCCCGCTCAGTGGATTCCCACTCTCCATAACCAGCCTTCAGTCTCTTCCTTTCCATGTCGCTCGTAGCTATGCGATTGCGCTCCTTGACGCAGACCCACCACAGGGAATGGAGATCGTCCCATGACTTCTCACGGAGTTCCTGAATCGACCACGAGCGGCCTAAACGATCGATAGTAAGCATCACAGCGTCACCACAGCCTTATAAGTTCCAAAACTAACCGCATTCAATGTCGTATGTCGGCGTGCTCAAAGCGGTCCGGTCCGTGGGGAAGAAACCCCAGAGTCCATGGTCTGGTGTGGCATTGCGCTTCGGGAGAGCGTCTGGGGAAACTGGCTTAGGCAATGGGTATTTGGACACGCCCAATCGGTACTTGGGGCCAGTGCGGTGAATAGCGGACACGGCGCGGACTTTGTTGAGATCACCACGGCCAGCGGCGACAGCGGCGGTGGAAGAAAAGTTCGAGCACTGAACGGTCGACCGGTTCATGGAGAAATGGAGGGACGGGGCGAGGTAAGGAGGGGGCAATTCGGCCAGCGGGAAAGCCCCGGACTGGCGAGCCAGTCGTAAAACAGACTGACGATGCATTGTGACTGTAAAGCAGCCCTGTGACGGCGAAGGGACTCAGTGGAGGATGTCCTTGCGGCCTCCGGATCAAAAGCGAACGGAACGGACTTTTGGGCGCCTAGATCACGTGTGCGGCTGCGGCTGGTAACACAGTGCGACCAGCTGGGAACAACTTCCTACTTTGCACATCGTGGGGAGGACGCTCGGGGCCGGGAATGAGTTTGAATGAGATATTTTACTGCCAATAAGATCGGGTGTATCTATCATGGTCGGGTCAGATAAGACTAATGTATGTTGACAAAGTGGAAGAGGATGCCGATAATGATGCTATTGATTACATAGATAGCTGGGAAGAAGGTGATGCACATGATCTGTCATCCCCACGTCTTGAGCGCTATATAATCCCTAATATGTATAGTAATATTGTCGTAAAGGAAAAATTAATGCAGTAATCCATGACCAAACTTCCCATCACCCACCCCGATCCAGTGCGTGGTCGTGTGCTCATGGTTACCAAGAAAGCGAGGATGACCGTGAATGGGCGGCTAATGGAGGTCCGTGCAGGAACCCAGAAGCGCGCGTCTGCAGCCACTCCACCTCCCAGAGCCGGCGCAACACTGTGTGGGCAGAGATCCTGGCTGCACATTGGTTTCTTATCGCTCACATGCTGTACCACTGTTTTTCTCTAAATCACACGGCAGAGTCTTATTTCTTTCATCTGTACTGCTCAAACGACTATTCTGCATTATGAATAGGCCAGGTTTGTGATTTTCACGTTCTTCCCTTTGTCCTCCCGATCGGGCTTGCTACGGCAACCCCAGCAGTCTCCGATCAATGCTTTCTCTCATGCCCATTCATTCTCTTTGAGCTTCATCGTGCCGTGTGGAGGGTGGCTGGTGCTTGGATCCGCGTCTCGCTATCTATCGGGCTTCAATTGCAAGCTCTCTACCAGATGGATCTTCCTTTGCGACCGCAATAGCCTTCCTCGTCACCATGCCAAGCCCCTCCCCCGGCTTTGGTGAAGCAGTCCAACAGTCCACCCACCCCCGAAGTTGGCACGTTCACCTGGGCTATGTCGCTGATCACTGTTATGGCTTCCAGGACCCGGCCCCCAGCCCTTGCGAGGCATGTCCGGCTTCCCCGCCCAACAACAAGCACAAGCTCGAAATGCGGCATTAGCATCGGCGCGCCTGCCAAACGGTAAACTTGGTGCGACTCATTGTCTGGTCTCGACCTGGTAGATCCGCCTTGAAAGCTAACGGTGTCGGACCCCCAAACAGGTAGCGGAGCGAATTGGAACTTCAACCTACCCGTCAGCGGAACGCCGGGGATACAAGGCAACCAGCAGCGCAATATCGGAACGATGGGAACGTTTGCACAGAGCTTGAGCGGTTCTCAACCTGCTACTCCTCTTGACTTATCGTGAGTGTGGCTTGCTCTCTCTCTCACTTTTTGATTGGGTCTATGGATAGGCCTTCTGAAGGACACGTCGAACTTATTGCTGAGAAACCTGGCTGTTCCTTTCAGAGACTTCCCTTCGTTATCTGGAGCGCCTCCGCAATCGCAAACGCAAAATCCGAGCCATCTAGTATGGGCAAACGCCAGCCAACGTGCGATGCAGCAGACCCCTGTGCAAAGGCCGCAGCATGCTACCTCCCAAGCACCCTCACGAGCTCCGCAGACACAGACCCACCACCCGCAACAGCAATCGCAACCCTCGCATGACGACGTATTTCCCTCGGGCGCTCAGTTCGCAAACCGTTTGGACGATTTCCGGAATGGTGGACAGGGTATCAGTGGTCAGTTAGGTGCCGGGGGGCAACCTCAAACCGGCAACATTGAAGAATTCCCCCCGCTCGGACGTAATATCACCACGGACCTCGGTCAAGATCGGAGAGGATCATTGATACAAAGTACAGGGCTTGGCAACTACAACGGTGGCCTTCCGTTTACGGGCGTGAGCCAGGCTCAGTCTGCCCAAGCTCGCAACATGGTCGCTGCGTCGGTAAACGGACAAGAGCGGATAATGTCGCCTGCCACTGCAGGATCAGGGGGTAGGTGTCAGTGACTTGGTCAACCCGATCTCAAACTAATAGGGTCTATTCAGGTATCGAAACGTCCCGGTCGCCGGTGAATCAGGGGTCAAGCAGAGTCCCGGGGCAAGAAAAGGAGGTAAGGGTCGCGACCAGACACGCTTATCGCTTTGATGCTGACATGGCTTCAGGAGTTAAACAACAGTGTAATATCGAACCAGAGTGCTTACACCGAGCAACACATTATGCGGCCGCCTGGGTTTCCCGCTACTGGGAAGGAAGCTTCGGGGGCTGCGCAAAGTTCTGATCAACTACCACTGGCCGAAATGAACGAGCTCGACAAGTTTGGGCTGGCAGGCCTGCTGCGCATGATTCACAGCGATAACGCTGATGTCTCCAGTCTCGCGGTAGGACAGGATCTCATGACATTAGGCCTGGACTTGAATCAACCAGAGTATGTTTTGGCAACTTCTTGAGCTTCGAAGGCTGTTCTCACACCGTCCTAGACCCTTACATACGTCATTCGCCTCGCCGTTCGTTGCCTCCATGCCAGGAGTTCCTTTGGAGCAAGATTTCGCTCTCCCGGCGTGCTACAGCGTCGCCAACGTCCAACCTCTCCAGACACGTATCCCGAGTTTCAGCGACGAGACCTTGTTCTACATATTCTACAGTCAGCCTAGAGATCTACTGCAGGAAGTCGTTGCGGAAGAGCTCATGGGTCGGAAATGGAGATACCACAAGATCGAACGGTGCTGGCTTACGCGCGACGAGACGTACCCCGGTCCTGTTGACGTCGATCGCGGCGTGAGTGAAAGGGGAGTCTACCTATTGTGGGATCCCGCCAGTTGGAAGAAGGTTCGGGTATGTCTACCGTCGTCTCTGCTTGATGTCGTCTCTCAATGACTCGCGTCACGCATATACTGACCAGATGCTACAGCGCGAGTTTATTCTTCGCTACGAGGATTTGGATAACCGGATGGATCCGAACCGGAGTCTTGCACGGGTCGGATTTCCGCATAGTTCATGAATGTCTGAGAGGAGCACAGGGGGGGGAGGGGATAGGATCAAATGGCGTTAGGTTCACTACCAGTTTTCAGGTGACTGTTTCAGGTGTTGCAGTTTTGCCGAGCAACAGGTGTTTCTCTAAGCTTTAGTGGTCTATCCGGGACAAGGACATTCATGCGAATTCAATGACTTCTATGACCTCACTTTCTGGTGCTTCGAACTGGCTGATAAAAGACGTAAAAGAGCATTTCCATTAGCACTAACACTACAGATGAATCAATAGCATTCTCACAAGTACTCCCAACAACCCAATCCACCTCATTATCGACTATGGCTTCCTTCCCACCGCAAGAACAGCCACCGGATCCATTCTAACCACGCCCTCAGCTCCAAACCTCTCCTCCAAATACTCCCTAATCACCACCGGCGCCTTCGCCTCATACATTTCCCGCTGCTCGGGTGTCCAAAAGGCCCCAGTCACAATAGGGATCATCCCCTCACCGATCTCCATAAACTCGGATACAGTCAACGAGGTCTCCCTCTGCACAGCAATAACTTCCACATCTTCAAACCCTTCCTCTTCGAACCGGGCTTTCACGAAAGCCTCGTCGTCCCAGCCTTCGTTATGCAAGGCCAGGAACTCTTTCATGGTGGGAAACTTGACGTTCCACGGCGTGGTTTCGATGGCTTCTTTCATAATGACGAGCCAGGATGCTGATATACCTTTGGTTAGACCTGCTAATTGAAGCGGCGGATTGAAATGGAAGGGCATGGACATACAAGTCCTCCACGTCGAAGTCGCAAGCACACCCCCGGACTGGAGGATACGGAAACATTCTACCATTAACAAAAACACACACATTGTCAGCTTCTTCACTTCGATCCAACCACCTATCCAAACAATATCACCGAAACACGCAATAAGAATGGTAGTACTCACCTCTCATCGCAGCTCTCGCATCAGGTATCATCATGAACGCTACCAACACACACACATCATCAGTCAGCCAACCATCCATGCATTCCCATTCCTCCACAAATACACCACCACCCCCACCACAACCAATATGTTCACACTCACCAAAAGCCGACACCACATGCGTATACCTATCCCCGGGCAACGCCGTACACTGAGCATCCACGACCTTCGCCTCAGCATTCACCCACCCTTCCCTCTCGCTCCGCAACTTGGTATACTCCACCATCAGCTCCGTGACATCTCCGCAGGTCAGGGTCCAGTGTCTCTTGACCTCTTCAGGCAGCGTGCTGTTCAGGTAGCTAGATACAATACCCAGTCCGCAGGCGTTGTCGAAGACGACCAGGGGTTTGTTGTTATTATTACTGGCGGTTGAGAGGATGCCGGCGTGCTGGACGAGAGGGGCCACGAATGCGCCGGTGAGTTTCTCGGCGAGGTGGTAGCGGGATACGAAGGCTGGGGTGAGGTATGAGGAGGGGGAGATTTGGGGGGGCATTTTGATAGATGGGTGTTGGGTGTTATGTTTATAAGGTTGGAAGAGATGAGTGTTGGTTTGGGTGATGATGGGGATGGAGAATTACTTGAGATATGGCAGCTTTTTATATCTTTTTGGGCTGCTTGTTGTTGCTCGTTCTACTGCTTGGCTGGGGTGCTGAGGCGCGAAGGATGGGAGGGAGTATGTCTCCGATATGTCTCCGCGAGCAACCTTAGTGACTGTTTCTCGGGGACTTGGATTGGATGGGTGTATTATCAGCTGAAATTTTATGTTCTAGACCAGTAGTAGGTATCATACAGCAGGGGCGGATATCTAACTCTACATTCATTATGTCAAGTAGGTAGAAGTATCCGGGATCTGTTCGTATACTTCCATCCCATCCTTTTATGATGTCACAGTACGAGATCCAAAAACCCAAGATGCGTATTAATTCCCATAACGCACCGGGGGGGGGGGGGGTAGCAAAAACATAGTTAAACTGATTGAAAGGATCAAAAAGAGAATATAATCTCAGCTAATAATAGATGGAAAAAAGAAAAAAGAAAAAAGAAAAAAGAAAAAAGAAAAAAGAAAAAAGAAAAAAGAAAAAAGAAAAAAGAAAAAAGAAAAAAGAAAAAAGAAACGTCCCGGGAGAGGATCGAACTCTCAACCTCACGATTAACAGTCGTACGCGCTAACCAATTGCGCCACCGAGACGATTTGTTGCACTACGAGAATCTATTATGTTATATAAGCCATGCTATTAGTCTTTGAATCTTGTGTAACCTCAACATAACAGATATAGTTTGTGTAGAGTCGTATGTTGTACATGCCGTGAAGCCATGACTGCTCGCGGTGATTGGGTAATATTATCGAGGCCAACGGATGGAATTTATCTGCAGTCTCTAGCATGCCTAGGTATACCCAGTCCCTCAAATCAACTACACTGACAAAGAGAAATGGACTGGGTTGTACTATAC